ATCCCCGTGGGGGCAGGGAGCATCCAACTGCTCTTCAGCACACGTACGGCACAGAGGAAAGAGCAGTTTGCCTTGACACTTGTAAGGAAGAACAGGATGATAGAGGTCGGTGGGCGGCAAGACTCGGCACTGGATCAGGCCGTGGAGCTCAAACAAGTCAGACACGGGAGGATGATCTTTGATCTCGGGGTGTCCCACGGGGAAAAGTACCATACTTGCAGATGTAAGGGTACAGCGAGCAAACGTCCACATATTTAATTTCTTCATCTTCTTTGGCTTCGTAGTACAGTTTGGTGGCGTTGGTACGACCTCCAAAGAAAGCATCTCTAGGATTCAACGGGTCAGGCATGTAGGCATGGGGTCCTTGCAGGGTAGTCAGGAAGGCTTTCAGATCACCGTTGTCTTTCTGTTGTTTCAGAAAATCACATTCCCAGAGGGTCACCACTTGGCCGATGTCGGGGATGTTGGCGTAACACACCCAGGCGGTACATGGTATGATGGTATCGTTCCCAAGGGGTGGTACCCAAGCTAGCATGGCGTTCACATCGACTCGTCTTGTAACAGCGAGTACATCCATGCCAGAAACAGCCCAAGTATTCGTACACGGTGCGGTGCGTGTCTTGGCGTCGTAGCCATCTGCCATGTAACGACTTCCGTCAGCACAGTCAAAGCCTACTTCTCCACCATTCCGAGCATGTTGAATGTGGACCCCAGGGTGTTGATGCATGACCCAGTTGAGCCAGTGGAGACACTGAAGCGAGTAGCGACGCTGGGGACGATAACCTTGAGTAGGTAGGATGGCGATGGTACGGGGTTCCAAAAACTGTTTTCGGAAGGTGAGCATACAAGCCATGGGTAGAGTCACCGCTTCATAGAAAGGGTCCACGTTGTTCTGTTGAATGAATATGTTGCGGAATGCAGCACAGCCTCGACGCAAAATGTCCACATCACTCTGACAGTAGGTCAACAATTCCTCATCCAGATCAAACACAGTCCCTTCAGCCACCCGTGCATCGTACCAGGCCAAGAAAGCTTTGCGTTCGGCAGAAAACATGCTGTCAGGATCGTAAGTAGACACGGGAGGATATGGACCCACATAGCCTTGGTGAGCTTCGGTGTTGAAGAAGTGAGGGAAGTAGCCTTTCTTGAGTTCCGTCAATGCAAACGTTTTTGGAAACTGCTTCAGAGCCATCGTAAGGAAGTTGAGTGAATCCTTAAAAACAAGACGTCCCACGGTCATCTGCAAGATGTGATTCCCACGTAGTGTGACCTGGGGTGCTTTCACGAGATGTTGATGGAAGTACTGTTGGAGCAAGTGTCCATCATACCCACGGTAGTTGTGAGCAATGACCAACACGTCGTCATCATCGAGGGTAGGAGAAATATCGTCTTCGTCGTCTTGTTCTTTGTCGTCGTTGCCTTGTTCTACATCATCATCATCATAGGGTTCTGGTGATACCAGTTTGGGTTGTTTGGAGGCACGGCCTGACGACTGCTGCTGGGATGCCTTACGTTTCTTCTTCTGCTTCTCTTTCTTTTCCACCAGGGACATCAGCCAGTCGCCCATGTCCTTCAAGGTCGTCGATCCCCGAAACACTTTGATGCGGCTAGGCCCTTCTCCTTCCTTACGCCAGGGGCACTTGTCACACAACTGATCCGAGGCCTCGGAAATACATTTTCCGCATCCTAGATGCACCACGCACAAGTTGGGAACATGAGTTCCTTGATCTTGGGTACATTCAAAGTCATAGAAGATGAACTGACGTTGTTGTCGTTCTTTGTCTTCATCCATTTTTTCACCGTCTTCATTTAGTTTCGGTGGTTCGATGACGGACATGTAACACTGGTGGTTGGGTTTCAAGGGTTCTTTGCAGATCTTACAGTCACGATTCGTGCCACACTGGTGGTTGGCCATGCCCTGGATTTTTCTCACGTTGACTTTGGCATAGCAACGATGACAGGTGTGGATGGTGGAGCAGGTGCTGGGATGCTTGGCGGAGGCCGTCTGATGGCGTTCAAAGCAAGTAGGGTTTCGGAACCATCCGCCACATTGGAGACAGGAGAGCCCTTCATTGTTCACGTCGCCACAGTATCCAAGACATTGACACCAGTAGCAACGAAATTCTCGGGTGCAGCGATGATCTTCAGCGTGGTCGTAGCCTTGGTCACACGTTTCACAATAGTAATTATACCCTGTGAAGGCAGTCATGGAGGTAATGACATCGTAATGGTGATGGTGATGATAGAGGTGAAGGATCTTGGTGGGTTGAGGCACTTCACTCTTGTACAGGAGGCGATTCATCACCTCTTGGGAGTAGACTTTGAGCTGATAGTAAGGGGCCAAACGTTGACTGAACAACTCCCACGTGGTACGTCCTGTACAAGGACCTTCGGGGATCTTGAGTTGGCGAAACAAGCCCTTGGCAGCCTTCAGTTGCGCTGGTCTACGATGGTCACACAGGTATTTCCATTCCTTGGTCCATTCTTTGGTCACAGGATCGGGTTGGTGTGCGTGGTGACTGGCCACGACCAGGGCACGGGCAAAGCAGAGCTGATCCTCATTCTTGATTTGAACGATGCATTGTTTCTTTTCCAGGAAAGCGTTTAAGCCAACGAGGTGTCTTGTCCGGCCGTGTCCCTCACCGATACGATCAGGATCCTCTACATGCAGTAAGAAAATGTCCATGGTGTCATCGATATGTAAGTCGTGGTTGCTTTGTTGTACTTTTTCCACTTCGCCCATGATGTGTTCCCCCTGGAGGTCACCCATCCGCCGAAACGTGATTCGGATGTCTGTATCCAGGGCGGGGTGTTCCAGGGCCAATCCCACGCGATCACCATCCTGGCCACCCACATCGTCTCTCAAATCTGCTAACACGGCATCAAACTGTTCTCTGAGAACGACGGGAAGGTCTTCAGGCTGTTGACGTTGCAGCCAAACAGGGTTGAACTTCAGGTGATAGCGCTGGGTACCAGTCCGGAATTTCTTGGTTGTTTTTTGAGTCGTCCGCTCCAACTCGTAGGGCACAGGCTCCTCTTCAAGTTCATCTTCGTTCATTCGTGGTGACGACATGGTGAGAACTGGTCAGAGCCACGCTGAGCCTGGTTTATATACATCACGTCACCCTATGACGTCACAATAGGTCGTGCCAGTGCGCACCATGAGCTCATGTGTTATTTATAGGAATGATGTCATACCCATGACGTCACACTAACCTGTTGAGTCAGGAGGAGAGTGGTGCGAACCGGATGCAACCGGTGCGAACCAGAGGCGTCAAAGTGACGTCATCAACCCACAGCTATATAAATTCAAGGTTTTCCAGCTCTCCTCATCAGTTGCTCACTGAAACTGGAAGCATGCAGTCGTCTCCCGCCTCCGCCTCCGCCTCCTTCCGTTGCCGACTGTGCGAAACAGATGACCACAGTTATCTACACTGTCCCAAGGTGACCTGTACCGAGTGTGGTGATCAAGGTCATCGCTATTACGTATGTCCCAAGAAGACCAAGGACAACAACAAGCACGATAACAACACCTGCTACAACTGTGGAAGAAACGAAGGTCATCTCAGTTACGCCTGTCCACATCCCTGTCGCCACTGTGGTCAAGAGGACCATAAGAGTATGTACTGCTCTAACAAGGGCCAGAAACGTCCGGCTCCCCCCACCTACCAGCCAAGTGAACCGCCAAAGAAAGTGAGTAAACGTGAAAGCCAACATTTACTGACTCTACTCCATGACAAGGTTCTCCTCGTTCAAGATCGCATAGACACCATGTACTCTCTACTTCAACGCATCTTGGAGTTTGTCGAACCCATGGACGATTCCAGTAGCAGTGCCTCCAGTGCACCACCATCACCACCATAGATACCTCGGTGATCTCTCACCCATTCATACCAACGGCCCTTTTCAGGGCCACCCACCTGGCTCGAAAGAATGCTACATCCAATGTTGTTTTAACCACACCACACACACACACACAACACTTGTCTAGCCACGCCATCGTGTCCGCCTCACCCCTCTCTCTCCTCCCTTCCCTCTCCTTTTCCTCTCCTTCCTTCCTTTCCCTCCGTCCTGTCCCGTCCGCCGCTCGTCCGTTCCGCCATCTTGAAGGCGCGTCTACGCTCGCGAGATCCCGCGAGAGTCCACGAGATCCCGCGAGATCTCACGCGATCCCACCGGATGGGACGCCATCTTGAAACGCGTCCGCCATCTTGGCCCGGAGGTGACGTCATCGTCATGTGCGCGCACCCACCGGAACCGGACGTGACGTCATCGCCATGCGTGCGCACCCGCCGGAACCGGAAGCACCGGAACCGGAACCCGAGTGATCTCCCCTGACCGGAAGTGACTGATCCAAGATGGCGGCACATCCGGTCACCGTGGGTCGCCATCTTGATCAAGATGGCGGCGCCCATGGGGACCGGATGTGCCGCCATCTTGAAAAAGACCCTAGGGTACTGTTGTTCACTACTGAGGTATGAATTGAGTGAGTGAGTTAAAATGTACATCGCATCGGTAATATTACAGCCATATGGCGATGAAAACAAGGTAATCATTTTAAAATATCTGTCGACAAATGACAGTAAAACCAACTAGACTATCACAGATATATATTTATAACTAGTGACGAAATCTAAAATACTTTAAGAAAAGAGGACGATACAATACAAAACAGGCTATAGATCGCCAACAACTAAAGGTTGAGGTTTGAATTGAAAAACCGATGTATACACCGTTGAAATGTAAGATATTCAGTCAATAATCAGAATGAAATTCTACATCTAAAATAGTATGATAATTGTAATGGTTTCATCAAATACAGCTGACAGAAATTACGAGATTGATAAACAATTTTAGTTTCTAGTTTAATTGATCTTGTCAGTAACCGCCAAAATGAAGCATTGAGTTCCCGCGAAGGGATTGAAACAGTTGAAAAGAATAGGAATGAACACGTCATGTGTTAAGCATGAAACTATACGAGTTGACGCTTTACTTGTTACATAGGTTGTGGCAATAGGACATTCGGGTTGAACTGTGAGCGTGACTGTGGCCAATGTAACGGGACGTGTGATGTTGTTGATGGACGATGTCCCTGGGGATGTACCGAGGGGTACAACGGTTCTCACTGCTCTGTAAAGCTTTGTAAGTAATGTCCTTTACCTCCATAGTGAAATATATTATGACAAATGTTATGTTTGGTATGTTTACTAACATTACTTACGACCGAATATGATTTTATGCACCGGGTCTTGTAACGCTAAAAACTGTCATCAAGGTATATACTGTCACATACGGTGTCTTAGCGCTATAACAAGGACCCCGTCAGTGGCAGTATTTACATTGATGACAGTTTTTGACGTTTCAAGCCCCTGTGATTGTATTCGATATGACCCGCGTGTTTATTCCACTTGATTGCCTTGCGCCTCTATGCCTATGTAGCAGGGATAACTGACTTGATCTTTTGTATATATCGTGGTATGTTTTCTTTATTTAATTGTATGTTCATCTTTCCATTTGTTGCATCAGCCATCTTTCAAATCATTATCTGTTAAATGTCCATTTGTTATATGTTGTCCGTGTTTGCCGTTGAACGCCGCCTTTTAATTTTCACCTTTTTATCTGTTTCCAGGAGCCTTGTTGACAAGGATTTCCCTTCACCTCTGTTCTATTTTTTGATTCAGTTCCCATCTTCTGGGCTTTGCCTATTCTATTTATAAGTCACATCAAAGGTTTCCTTTGATGTGTTATCTGTCCTCTAATTGGCTATTGTGTCCCTCTGTCTACTTCCTGTGGCCTACCTGTCTTCCACCTCACTCCAATTGCTGTTGCTGAGGTGGAAACATCTTTTCTTTCTTCAGGTATGGCCGTTTTCTAATCCTTTTTCATCTGCCTCAATTTTATCTTAACTTCTATATAAAGGTGCTTAAATTAATTCAAACTGTAATTTAAAACTATTAAGGGCAATATTTAATTTATAATTTTAAACTTTAAAGCAATTAATTATAACTTGTATACATTGTATTGACCATGTAAATGGACCATGTGCTCTCCATACATTTACAAATTTGTTTTGCAAAAGGTTTATTGATTACTTTGGCTAAATGATACTTGTTTACAATGCATAATATAGTTAATGTAAATTTAATATTTTAATGACTCCAATTGCTGTTGCTGAGGTGGAAACATGTTTTCTTTCTTCAGATACCTCAGCAACAGCCTCATAATAAAATCATAACATCATCACCATTGTTTTGTCTTGTACCCAACGGCCCAGAGCCGAAATTCCCCAGGCGACCTCGGCTACACCTATATTAGTGTACATACCACATGCCTATATTAGTGTACATACCACATACTTATTTAAGTGTACATACCACATGCCTATATTAGTGTACATACCACATACCTATTTAAGTGTACATACCACATGCCTATATTAGTGCACATACCACATGCCTATATTAGTGTACATACCACATACCTATATATTAGTGTACATACCACATATTAGTGCATTATTTAAGTGTACATACCACATGCCTATATTGACATACCCACATGCACATACCACATGCCTATATTGGTGTACATACCACATGCCTATATTAGTGTACATACCACATGCCTATATAAGTGTACATACCACTTGCCTATATTAGTGTACATACCACATGCCTATATTGGTGTACATACCACATGCCTATATTAGTGTGTACATACCACATACCACATATAAGTGTACATACCACATGCCTATATTAGTGTACATACCACATGCCTATATTAGTGTACATACCACATGCCTATATTAGTGTACATACCACATGCCTATATTGGTGTACATACCACATGCCTATATTTAGTGTACATACCACATGCCTATATTAGTGTACATACCACATGCCTATATTAGTGCACATACCACATGCCTATATTAGTGTACATACCACATGCCTATATTAGTGTACATACCACATGCCTATATTAGTGTACATACCACATGCCTATATTAGTGTACATACCACATGCCTATATTAGTGTACATACCACTTGCCTATATTAGTGTACATACCACATGCCTATATTAGTGTACATACCACATGCCTATATTAGTGTACATAC